GTGTCACTAAACACCTGGAAATTAAACATATTGTGCATTTTTTGGTACTTTACAGTAAACTTAAACTTGTACTGTTGATGTGTTTCACATTTTACAAAGAATTTGGACTCATGTAACCAAATTTTGCACAGGTGCACAGGGGTTTGAATCGTCTGTGCTCACTGTTCTGTCCCTGTGTGCTGGTGGGAATGTGGCTGCTCTTTATCCTTCTAAGTTCCTTCACCCTCTGACTTTTTGATTTTTTTTTTTCAGATTTACTGCTTTTGTTGCTTCAGTTGGAGAAGCATTTCATTAACTCAGTGAAGGAGGTTCCTGGGAAGATTTAGGATTTATTAACATCTATTTCTTTGCCTGTTTAAGCAGTGTTGGCCACTAAAACCTTTCCTTGGGACCATCAAGCTCCCTTGGAGCTGATATGTAAACTCTCCATTCCATATGCAAACTCTGGACCAGTCTGCAGAGAAAAGACAACTTTCCACTTACAACAGCTCCTGGTGTGCAGGAGATAACAGGAAGGTGGTTAAAAAACATAGAGTTTCAGTCTTGTGAGAAATTTCTTCATCTTTATATTTGCATTTAGTTTGCATTAGAATACAAACAAATATTTTCAATATTTTCAATCAGTGTGAAATTCTTAACTACGTTTTTGAATATTTTCCTGTTTGTTTGCTTGTCTAGGTTTTTAAATGTTTGGATTAATAATATTGTGGTGGGTTTTTTTTTTTTCAGAATACTGAAATATTAGATGACACAGCTTGTCTTTAAAATAGATTCTTTTAAAATAATTTAGAGCAGCTGCTTTCTAGCGATTGAGTCATCTCATTTTCGAGATTAGAATCTCTTGTTTGTTTTGTAATGAAATGCTTTGACACTTGGAACAAGAAATTAAGATAAATACTCAGCATACGAACCACAAGAGCAGGTGTTTTTTCCAGCATCCTTCTTATTCCAGGAAAGTGCCATATTTCTTCTCCAGACATGTTTTTTTCTGCTTTTATAAATGACTTCAGAGCTGGAAATTTCCATGGTTTCTTTTGGAAAGTTTTTCATTTCGCTCCCTGAAATTTCTCTTGCTCCAGGAAGTTTAGTTGAAATCAGTTAAGAGTGGCAACTTCTTAGTGTCTTCCTTTCACCTGCCTATAACTTGGTGCAGGATGCATTTATACATGAAAAGAAACATATAAGGAATATATTGCAGCATCTTTATTTCTATAGGAGAAATCTGACCCAGGGATATGGATACAGACAAATCCATACAGTGCACAACTTCTCAGATGTTCCAGTGGGGAAAATACCAATGCCTTCAGCAACTGGAGCTGATGGAGCTGTGAGGAGTGAGTGGTGCAGAGCTGGAGCCTGTGGCTGGAGCAGCATGGATGTGTGCCAGGTCAGGAGGGAGCAGTCAGCCTGAGCTCCAGGAGATGCTGCTGGCAAGGGCAGATGTGCTGTGCCAGCAGCTGAAGTGGCAGCTGCTGTAGCCATGCTAGGAGGTCCATAGAGGAATAGACTGAGACAGAGCTCTCAGATGTTAATCCACACTCAGGGTAGCACTAATATCTAAGAACCAGCAGGTATCTCGCTTGGAAGAGAAAAATGTCATGGTTTTTTTGGGTTTTTTTTCTGAGCTGGATGAGAGAGTTTACCTCTTTTTCCAAACAGAGGGCTCTGTTTTCAGGGCTGCTTCACCTGGGGTTTTGCTGCTTAACCATCAACACTAAGCAATTACAGAAATCCATAGAGTCCCTCAACCACAAAAATGTTTGTGTAGAGGAGTGTAATAGCCCTTGTTTTATAAAAGGCAGCCTGGAGACTCCAGGGACATCAGCTCACTGTGGTTGTGACCAGAGTTGTCATAGAGTGAGCACAGCCCATGGGCTCTCCTGGCAATGTCTATATGTACTTCTCTCCACATTCAGTCAGTCAGAGCTTGTGGGAAGCAGAGAAGAGCTTGAGACTGACTGTGGTGAGAGCAAGAACTGGTCACTGGTTGTATCTGACAGCACCATTGGTTTACCTGCCCTTCAGTATTTCTGCTCATGTACTGAGTGAAACTGCACCACATGTACTGCTGTGTTCCAATCCTCTGTGTTGCATCCAGGTACTGTTCATGTATTAAAGTCGAATGTTATGATCTGGAGACAAGGATGGATTTCTCTGAATGTCATCATAGAATCATAGAATCAACCAGGTTGGAAGAGACCTCAAAGATCATTGAGTCCAACCCTACTCTAGACCATGGCACTAAGTGCCACATCCAGTCTCCTCTTGAAAACCTCCAGGGATGGTGAATCCACCACTTCCCTGGGCAGCACATTCCAATGTCTGATCACTTTCTCTGTAAAAAATCTCTTCCTAATATCCAGCCTAACCCTCCCCTGGCAGAGCTTGAGTCTGTGCCCTCTTGTCCTGCTGCTGGTTGCCTGGGAGAAGAGACCAACCCCCACCTGACTCCAACCTCCTGTCAGGGAGTTGTAGAGGGTGATGGTTTAACAAGGTTCATATTTGTTAGAAAGAGGTTCTACTGCAGAAACAATAATCTCACATTTGGCTATGCCATGAATCTCTCTTTACTGTAGTTTATATATCCTAAAAATAGTTCTGGGAAATACTGAAGTCTGATTTGAGGGAGTAGTTGCTCTGAAAATGGACCCACACTGCAATATCAAATTGTGGACATTCTCTCCAGTGCAGTTTTCTCCTTCTCCACTTCTTGGGAGTTGCCCCAGGTTTTTCCAAGGTCACTTGTACTCATTCTCTGCTATAGTCAACAGCAAAAAATAGAAGAGATGTGTTGGTTTGTTTGTTTTTTTAAAATCAGTGAGTTGGGTTTTGTTTGTTTGTTTGTTTTGTTCTTGAAAGCTTTTCTATCTCTTTATGCCTTAAGGGAATAGCTGTGGGTTTTTTTAATAAGGAAAAATAACTTTCTGTAGTGAATTTTAGAACTGCCAAAGGTAGCTGAATACTTTTATTTATATGGAGATAAAGGACAAATGCATCTTTCACTTGTATTTATAACCTATTGTATTATGTGCTTGAAAATAAATACCACTGACTTCTCATAGGGCACTGCCTGACCTGAGCATCCTGTGAATGTGCTTTTCAGTGCCTCAGCAGTAGGATATTCCCTTTCTTTTTCCCAAATTCCTATTTTGCTGATTCCTCTTTGTGGTTTTATAGAATTGCTATTTCTCTTACACTTGATGTGCCAATAGAGCATAGAGATTGCAGTGGTTCCTTCCTACATATCATTAACTTAAATTAATGTTTCTCTCTGGATTTGGCTATGACATAGACAAGGTTATGTCTCTTAATTTAAGGTCTTTCATGCTCACCCTAACTCCAGTGCTGATTTTACACAGATTTTCTTGCCTTGAAGTACTTTGATACAACAAGAACTGTCAAAATACAGTCCTGTGCTATGCTGCATTCCATCATTCCTGCCTTACCAAAGGAAAAGGAATTGGGTGAAAAGATTTCTCCTCCTGCATTGAATTCTTTTGTTTTAAGGCCCATTATGCTAAGATCTCTCTCAGGTTTCTGACAAGTAATAAATATTTAAAACCACATTGTAATTCCTGGAAAAAATTAGTTGGTTTTCAATGAAATCACCTTCCAGCTGTCTAATTCTAATTCCTTTAAGAGTTCTGCTTTTGTTAGTTCTTGTTGCTGGTGTAATTCCTGTCCTTCCTCTGGTGCATTGCCTCGTCTTGGGTGTCAGCTCTGCCTAAATTGTGCTTCTCTGTCCAAATAATGGGACTCATATGTTCTCACCCTTCTCTGGTGTCAGTAACATCAGTCTCGGTCTCTTATTTATCCTGTTATTATTAAAGTCTCCTTTTTTAAACCTTGCATATTTATTTTTCCTCAAACAGCAACGATTTCCTCCTGTCATAAAGCAAGAGGCTTCAACATTTTCAAAGGCTCTTTCAGCAAAGCTTGGAATTAGATTCTTGTGGAGACCTTAATAAAAAATTGAAGACTTCATGTATTAACATACATTGATTTATTCATAGTGTTTCATTACAAATAAGTGAGGATCCCATAATATCAGGAAAGGTTAGGAGAGCAGCAGAGCACGGTGTATTATATTGACAGCTCTGTGGAAATTGAGCTGCCTTTGGATTGAATTTGGAACACAGGCAAGGAATTGGCTGGTAAATAAGTCATGAGTTTTACTTGTGTCTATAGCAGGAGGGTTGCCATGGGTAAGCCTGAAGGAGCTGGAGCAGGATTTCAAAGGTCTGCCTTCAGCATGGATCCCCTCAAGGTTTGCTGGCACCAGCTGCAGGTGTGTTCATGATGCCTCTCCACATCTGGAACCCTCCTGGCTTATTCTCTCAGGTGGAAACCACATGTAAATCTGCACTCTGAGGCTCTGAATGAGAGGAAGAAAAGGATATCAGAAGCTGGCTGACAAAGAGAAGGGTTTTGTCTAAAGACTTGATGATATTTAGTTCATTTAAACATACTATTTCATTCCAGTGTATTTTCTTTAGCACAGGAAAAGACTTCCAAGGCCTTTGTTGTCAGGAAAAGGCTCCCATTGTTTTCAGCTGCCTTATGAGAAGATGATTTGCCAGAAGAAAAAAAGAGCAAACAACTTGAGAGAAAATGTGCCCATGTTTGCACTATGAGTTTTCATATGCTGTGGGGGATTGTAAGGGCAATTCTCATGAAAATTCTTCCCGTTGTGCTGTGTGCTCTGGTTGGACTAGAGAACTTCTGAGGTTTGGAGCAAAAAGCAATTCTTTGCATCTCTTGTTGTAAATCAGCACAGGCTGATTGAGGGTTTAGTGGAGAGAAGAAATTCTGTTTTCCCTAAGTAAAGCCTTGGAAAAATTGTCATGTTTGTTTAACAGCATCCAAACACAGGAGTGTTCAGTGGAGATACTGAAATGATACCTGTCCTTGTGTTTTCAATGTCTCCAAACAGGGCAGCAGATTGAGGCCAGGTGCAGAAAGCCCCTCCTCACCTCCCTCTCCTTGTTCTTCCTTTGCAGATTACATACAAGGCTGTTGGGTCTCTGGATCCCACTGCTGACCTGTCCAGCCAAAGAGGGAAAGTCTTCAAGCTAAGGAATGAAACACATCACCTCTTTGTAGGATTATACCCAGGGACAACCTATTCATTCACCATCAAAGCCAGCACAGTCAAGGGCTTTGGGCCACCCATCACAACTCGGATTGCAACTAAGATTTCAGGTACTGCTTCAGAGAATAAGAAAAAAGAACTTTCTAGGCCTTTGTTCTTTAGCCCCAAAGCTGCTGCATAAAACAATAAAAAAATATTCAGCTTAATGTGTCTCCAAGTTTCCTGGGGCAGAGTTTTAAATCAGCCACAAACCTGTGTGTGTTTTGGTTACAAATGCAGTGGTTGATTTGTGGCTATTTTCAATATCCATGAATATCTGTGGAGCATTTTAAATGAGAATCATCATTAGCTCTACAAATGAACTACCCCTATAATAATTGCTGTTAGTATTATCTGCCTGGCTGGGGAAGCTCCTTCAGTAATGTGGTTTTTATTTTCAGAATGCACCAAAATGGATGTAATGAAGTAATGGAATTAATAGTGCAAAGAGACTAAAAATAGAGGAGGAAAGCTGTTTTTATTTGGAGTTTTATGAATAAGAGCAGAGGGAGGGCTTGAGGTAGGCAGACAAGAAGATGCAAGACACTAAAATAAGGAGGCATTGCAAAGAGAAGGTGTAAAAAAAAAACCACATGAAACTTGGACTAGCTATTAAAAAACATGGATAAAGGGATGGTAGAGGTGAGATTGGGCAGATAGGTATATTACTATGTTAACATCTAATTGATAGCATCAAATAGGTTCTCTAACAGAGTTTAAAACTGTAGTTTTTTTGGACTACCTTAACTGATTTTTTAGTAAAGCCAAAAGAAATGTTTGGGATTTTCAGCATACTTGTAATACTTGAAATTATAGCTGGTGCCATAGAAAAGGGTGCACACCAGTCTATATTTTTCACTGCCCTATTTCAAAATTGGTTAGTCAAAGCAAGTTGTGAGCACCAACCGAGTGACAGTGTAAATTTTAAGGAAGGGAAATGCATCCCTTCCCTCTGCTAACATCAGCAGGGTTTGAACCCTGAACATTTAGTCCAGAAGCCCTAAAACTCGAGAATTAAAGCCATTAAAGTGCCTTAAGAGCCTCGTGGACTGTTTGGGTTTCTGCAGTCCTGCTGTGAAGGGACAGCACAGTGTGCACTATATTCCCTTGGGACCAGAGAAATAAAAGAGCACAGGAATGGTAGTGCTTTTCCCTCTAATTCTCTTTCATTGCATTTTATTATTCTGTGAGTGCTCAAATCATGTTAGAAGTCTGCATGAGTACTAACTGTGTGCACACTGAGCTTGCTTTGTCTTTTCTGCCCCCATCTTCCAAACACCTGGTTTGCAATAGAAGGGCACAGACTCCATGCAAGCACCAGGGTAGTCTCTGACATTAGATTATCTCATTGCATGGACATGTTTTTGACATTTGCATTTTCTAAGTAATTTAGAAATGACTGTTAAACTTACTCTAAGAGGCAATCTCAAGGTTATAGGGAAGAAGAAGGATTTTTACACTGACTGGAATGTCCTTGTAAGGCTCTATGGGTTTCAAAATTAAAAGACATCTGTGCACTAGAGATGTGTGGGTATGCTTATATGGGTGGGTACATTTTCTTGTCTTAATCACAATTAAATCACAGAATCCCTAAGGACTGGGATCCTGCAAAACAGGCATTCAGTTGATGAGCAGGACTTGCTGTTTTAGAGACATTTCTGCCACTTGTAGTTTTATTGAGGTGCTACACAACTGGTGTGTGTTTAGTGCACAAGAAAACTACTCGATCCTATTTCAAAAGTGTCTTGTGACTAATCCAGACCAGGATCACAGAATTATACTCAATACCCTTAGCAAGGCCTGCCAAGACCTGTTTCTTACATTTGCTTCTTAATTGTATGGTGTCTGACAGGAAGATTGGAAGTTGTCTGGGGCAGGCAGAATGTTGTACACAGATGTCTAAACAGGTCTCATGCACAGGCGAAAGAGACTAACACATGAAAAAATTCAGTGGCATCACTGCAATGCTGCAGTTAGGCTGGAAGCTGCTGCTTCACAGGAGGATGGTGGAACCTGCAAAGGCACAGCCCAGTCTGGTTCTGCTGCCCAAACTGGCCTTGCCACTTCTTTGCAGTACGAAGTTGTGCTGTAGCACAGTCCCCTCTGGCCAGAGCAGGTGCTGAGCAAATCTTGCTGTGGCATCATGGCCAGCAGAGAGAGGAGAGGGATTTTCTCCTTCTACTCTTCTCTCATGAGATCTCACCTGGAGCACTGTGTCCAGCTCTGGGGTCCTCAGCACAGGAAAGACATGGACCTGTTGGAGTGAGTCCAGAGTTGGCCATGAAGATGCTCTGAGGTCTGGAGCACCTCTGCTACAGAGAAAGACTTGACAGAGTTTGGGTTGTTCAACCTGAAGAAGAGAAGGCTCTGGGGAGACCTTATTGTGGCCTTCCAGTAGTTAAAGGAGCTGCAAGAGAGCTGGAGAAACACTTTTGACAAGGACCTGGCATGACAGGACAAGGGGGAATGGCTTTAAACTGTCAATGGGCAGGTTTAGATTAGCTATTAGGAAGAAATGCTTCCCTGTGAGGGTGGTGAGACACTGGCACAGGTTGTCCAGAGAAGCTGTGGCTGCTCCATACCTGGAAGTGTTCCAGGACAGGTTGGATGGGGCTTGGAGCAACCTGGGCTGGTGGAAGGTGTCCCTGCCCATGGTAAAGGGTTGAAAGCAGATGATCTTTAAGGTCCCTTCCAACCCAAACCATTCTGTGATCTCCAGTATCTATGGTGATCTCTGGTATAGAAGACTTGGTGTCATCTATCTTTAAATGTCTCACTGCTTCCCCTTGATGCAGAACCCTTTATTTCAGAAAAATCCTTCTGAAGGGGTTGGCACTCATTCTGAACTCATTCCCAGCTTATTGACAGGGAAGTCAGTAGCTGAGCTGATAATGGCAACCTCCATTCTTGACAGTCTTCAGGCATTTAGATAAAAATCCTGATTGTAAACAGGATTAGAGTGGAAATCACTACGAGAGGATTAAATATGGGATCTCCCACAATGCAGCTTGCCCTTGTGAGTTACAGATGAACTACTTGTGTGAATTCTTCTGTTTTCTTTATACTTTAAAGATAATTCAACCAAACTTGCACCTTTGGCATAAATTGTTGCTGATCTGACCTCATGATCTCTTCAGCTCTTCAGCAGTAAACATGTCCCAAAGATATGTCTGCTATAAGGGAAGGAAGAAGTAATCTAATAAGTAAAGAATGCTTCCTAAGGAAATCTCTCCTACTTTTGTGAAGTGATCCTAAGAGGAAATAACAAAGCAGAAGTAGAAACTAGAGTTTGGCTGAGTGAATATTCAGTGGGTTTCTCTATTGCTTTGGGGAACACCTCAGTGAAGCAGTGGTGATGTCCTGGGTTTGGGTGCAAAAAATAACCTGGCTAGTTTGTGCTTCTCTCTTTTCATCTTTTGTGCTTCATAACACCCCCTCCAGCTAATTGAGGAGACACAGCTTAAGGCTGTGTACTAAAAACTCTTCAGATGTGGGAGGGCTAATCCACTGACCAGAGCAGAGGAAAAGGTTCAGGATTCCTGGATGATTTTCTTAGCTCTGCAGCTGATTGACTCATCCTAAGTGATTTTTTTTATAATGTCCATGCAGTTTTCTTTCTACACCTTTAAAACTGAAGGAATGATCTCATCTGAAAGCATTGCTCTTAAAAATTCCAGGCAGGATTTTCAAAGCCAGCTGGAAGATCTGGGTGTCTGGTTCCTGTTTAATTTTAATAGAAAAAAAAAAGAGCATACAGATATTTAATCAGTTTAGATAATTCTGGTCATAACATTGGGAAGTATTTTGATATTTCATCTGAGAAATATTAAACAGTCTCCAAGAAATGTTCACACTTAGTTGCCATCACTACCAAAGGCAGTAACTGGTGGATAACTAACGTGTTGCTCTTTGTTCTGCTGTAGCACCATCGATGCCAGAGTATGACACAGACTCCCCCCTGAATGAGACTGACACTACCATCACAGTTATGCTCAAGCCTGCTCAGTCCCGGGGAGCACCTGTCAGGTAGGTGTTTTGTCTTCTCTTTTCACAGTTCTCCCCTCTCCTTCCTCCCCAGGCTTCCCTCACGCCCCTCTCCTTCTCCTCTGATAATGGAGCTGCTGAAAGCCAGTGCTGACTGAAAGGCCAACTCAGCTGTTGATTCTGCTTTTCACAGTTTCCTTTTATAAATGCTTCAACCTCCTTGCCTCCTGCTGTTAACCTCCAGGAAGGATTGCTGCTAGCACTGCACGAGGTTATTACCCTCTCAGCATCACTTCAGATGCCTTTGCAGTGCTGGAGCACAATGGGACGTGCTCATGGTACTGAGCATCACCATGCAAAGGTGGAGGAGGCTCCAGGACCTCATCCTGCTCTCTCTTCCAGGATGAACAAGGCCTGTTTGTAATTATTGTAGGAATGCCTGAACTGTCTTTAATGCTTGTGAATGCATTTGTGCAGTTTCTGAGTCTAACCACACTTCTCATACCTACAATCCAGCTGTTGCTGCTGAGCTGGCTGTGCAATGAAGTCGTAATCTAATCCAGAAAGAGGAACTCTGGTTTAGTGAGGCTTTGCTAGTATTGGCAAGCAGGTCCCACTGGCAGAGTAGAGGCTTCACAGAACCACACAGAATCACAGAATCGTTTAGGTTGGAAAAGACTTCAAAGTTCATCCAGTCCAACCTTTGTCAACTAGACCATAGCACTAAGTGGCACATCTGGTTGTTTCTTGAACACCTTGAGGGATGGTGACTCCAATACCTCACTGGGCAGCTCCTTCCAATGCTTGACAACTCTTTTCATAAAGAAATTTTTCCTGATGTTCAACCTTAACCTTCCTTAGTGCAACTTGAAGCTATGTCCTCTTGTCCTGCTGCTGGTTGCCTGGGAGAAGAGACCAACCCCCACCTGACTCCAACCTCCTGTCAGGGAGTTGTAGAGAGGGATAAGTCTCCCCAGAGCCACTTTTTCTCCAGGCTGAACCCCTCAAGCTCCCTCCTCATATGACTTACTCTCCTGCCCCTTCCCCAGCTCTGTTCCCTTCTCTGGCCATGCTCCAGCCCCTCAATGTCTTTTCTGCAATGAGGTGCTCAGAACTGGACACAGCACTTGAGGTGTGGCCTCACCAGTGCCCAGTACAGAGGTCCAATCACTTTCCTGGTCATTTAGGGTCAGGGAGCTGCCCAGGCTCCTATGAAACAGAGTGGGCACTTTGCAGAAAACCTTTCTGAGTGTCTCTGAGCTGGGTCCCATTCTTAATGATGAGATGCTGAAATGGGACACTCAACTGCAGGTCACTCCCTGTCTGTGGGAACATGACTTAGAGATCTGTATTTCATCACTGTCTTCCATCTCAGTGACTTTGTAGATGGTGAAAGGCACGAGCAGAGATGAACAAACTTCCCTTCTGAACCAGCACTACCTTATCTGTCACTGGCAGAAGTGCCAGTTGGCCATTCATCCTGCCACTCCTCCTGCCAGGCTCCCTAGCTGAGAGCAGCAATTAGAATCACTTAGAGAAATAGTGGGTCCTGCTCTGCAGAGGTATCCAGCAGGTATCCATTACCTTCCTGTGGGATCTTCAGGTTTTTACCTTCAATTTTCACAAGAGATTTTGGAAGTTTTTCCCATGGGTGGTATTTCAAAAATCTATAGCTGTTTCTTTCCAAGTGACTTGGGTTTCTATGCCCCACTGACAGGTTCTTAGTGCTTTTGAAGGATGTCCATTAAGTATTTAGGAGCAAATTGCTCAGATGTAAACTACTAGATTTAATGACATATCCTATATCAGCCTATGTCATGGCTTTCCCCCAAATTGCATTGACAGACTCAAGCAACAAATCTGTTCTTTAAGACAGCACCGTTCCTTCTCTAGTTTTTCTGAGTAATGTATTTCAAAGTTTCCCTTTCAATCTCTGCTTCTCCATATGAGCAAATTTAGGAGCCTATTTTCTGAGTCCTTTAGGGATGTTTTTCTGCTGGAAAAGAGCAGTAAAATCACACAGCTCTGTTTTGTTTTATTTCTTTATATGGGGGAACATTCCTGTATCTCGTTTTACCACCTGCTGTCTTAACAGTGTTGCTATTTTGTCTTTTTATTGAAAAGTCTTGTGATTTTTTTTCTCAAAGTCGATTTACTGCACTTTAACTGCATTCAGTGAATAATGTCTTTTCCAGCAAATGCATCTGTTACAGAAATTTGGTAGAGATTTTTTTGAAATTTTCACTCTGGTTTCTTTAATTGCATCATAGCCTATTCTACATGTTTGCAGAGAGTGTGTTGTTTACATGCCATGGCTAAATGATAAGATTATTTCTTATTATGAGTCCATTTCATTGACTTACAGATGTGTGCATGAAAACTAGGAGGGGCAGAAAGGGGTCCTCATGTGAATTTTAGCTTTTTATTAGCTCTTTGTTGGAGCAAGGAGTACTGGGGATAAATTGAAAGAGGGGAATTTAGATTAGATATTAGGAAGAGTTTTTATACCAAGAGGGTGGTGAGACACTGTCCCAGGTTGCCCAGGGAGGCTGTGGCTGCCCCAGCCCTGGCAGTGTTCACAGCCAGGTTGGCTCAAGCCTTGAGCAACCTGCTCTGGTGGGAGGTGTCCCTGCCCAGGGCAGGGGGTTGGGGCTGGATGATCTCTAAGGTCTATTCCAACCCCTTAACAGACTATGAAACTATAACAGCCTCAGGCTGGGGGAATACATTCCTCTGTATAACTGTTCTTACTCTAGCCTTAATACATCCAGTTATAGCAACTTTCGATTTTCCCAACCTTTTTTTTTTTTCCAACCTTCCCTTTTCTTTCAGCCTGTTCTGCACACTGTCCCATTTGTGTTAAATCCTCTCAAAATGCATATCCAGAAGCAGGTAACATTTCCTCAGAGGCCTCGACAGCAAGCAGCAGGTTACAAGCATAACACATGAATAACATATTGTGAACTGCTTGTCATACTCTTAACACATAAAAATGAGGTGGTTTTTCCTCCTCAGTGGTTTTTATTGTATTCAAGCTGAGATCAAATATATCCTCTTTGTTGTGGTCTGCTTAGTTGTTCTACCTTTTGGTTGTGTGTGGTTTATTTATGACATAGAATATAAGAATAGTATTTTCCAGACATCTCTACTAAACATGGTAAAATTAATTTTGAAAGTGCTTTACAATTCTGATACAAACTGAAATGACCTTGACCCCTCTTAGTGTATTGCCATCCTCTGGGCAGGTATGGAGGGCATTAAGGCAAGCACAGATTTGAGACAAATGACTGAGCAATCTCCATGCACAGCAGGGAGGTGGTGAGGAAATTGCTGGAGAGGATTCCACACAATGCAGATCCTGGTGGGATGACTTCTCCTGGCCTCCCCTGTTAGACATGGCTCTGCTTTCCTAGATACCTTCCCTCTTGCATGCTGACCCTTTATATCCCAGCCTGTCTGAGATGGGTCTGAAATAGATTTTCCTCACCTTCTTATAAACTTCTGATATTCAGATCTTTCACTAGGCAGGAAGTGAAAACCTGACAGTTTCTGTGCTGCAGTTCTCCAGGTTTTATTACAGTGCTCCCAAACTGTGAAGATGAAGAAACCCCCCACTCTATGGTAATTATTCTTAATATTTCAGGGTGACTTATTCGTGGCCTACCAGTACCTGAAAAGAGCCTATAAGGAAGATGGAGAGAGACTATTTACAAGGGTTTGGTGTGACAGGACAAGGGGGAATGGCTTCACACTGACAGAGAGTAGGTTTAGATTAGATATGAGGAAGAAATTCTTCCCCTGGGAGGGTGGTAAGGCACTGGCACAGGTTGCCCAGAGAAGCTGTGGCTGTTCCATCCCTGGAAGTGTTCCAGGCCAGGGGGGATGGGGCTTGGAGCAACCTGGGCTAGTGGCAGGGGCATGGAAATAGATGATCCTTGAGGTCCCTTCCAGCCCAGAACATTCTATGATTCTATGATTTCCCCTCTATAAGGTGGATTATGGGGAGTTGGAGTATGTGTAGGGGTGTGACTATAAGGCTTTGTCTTGAGTTATTTCATTCTGCTGTAGCACAGAGATGGATCAGGACCACAAGGACATTTTTAGAGTAATACTGTAGGATATTTAAAACTAGATTCATTGTATTTTCATTCATCTGTAATGTATGTAGACCAAATCCAAAGTCACTTTCAGCATTAAGACATTTCTGATGTTCCCCAGTGCTCCTGATAAATAATTTCAACGAGGTTGTTTATAAAAGTAATGATCATGAACTTGGCATTGTTAACCATCTATAGATAACAACGAAGATGCTTTCATATGAGCTAATAGGATTAATATAAACTCAGATATTCTTTGATCTATTTTGACCTGTTGCCAAAAGAAAGGTGAAGCCTCAGCAAGTACAAATATTCTCCCATGTGGCACAGGAATTTCATTCTTGCCTTTATTTTCCATGGTATAACCTGCAGAGTTTGACTTCACAATGCCCTTTAAAAATAACTTTTAGGTGTTTTTATATCAAGCTAAACCCTGTGAATGGTGCTGTGATTGATTTGCTAAAGGCTGACATTCATCTATAATAGATTCAGGAGGGGAAGGAAGAATGCAAGTTCTCAATCTTTACTCCTCAACTCTTTCCTGAAAATCTCCAATGTGATTTTGAGGATATTTCTGCCTTTGAATCTGTTATTGTCAGGAGGGCTGAGACAGTCCTTCATAGATTATTCACATATGACATCTTTAGACCTCTATTTGAGAATTTATATCCCATTCACTGCTTAGAAATACAACTGTGAGGGATTTTATCTACATGACACATCCACTGGGCTGTTTTTTGGGTGTTGGATATTTGAAAGTCCATCAGGTTTATTAACACGTGGTTGGTTCTATCAGTCTATCTATACTGCTATTATGGAGAAAATCAAATTTCCAGAGCATGTATTAGTTTGGAGGATTTCAGAGTTTAAATAACTGCTCCTCTTAGGTGTGATTGCCTTGTCAATACACTGCTCTGCATTTTGGAGCTGTAGGACACTGCAGAA